CGAAACCCTCTCATACCTGGCTGGTAATATGCTGCGTGGAGAACCTCTGTAGTGCTGAGAGTGCTGCAGCAGAGACTGCCGCAGAGCCCTCCTCTGCATAGAGCAGGAGGGTGGGAATGGTTTCCGGGAGCCGAGCATTTTTCAGGGCTAACAAGTAAATCACCCTCTCTGTGTTGTCTCTGGTGCGTTTGAGACTCTGCAGGATAGTCTCCATTCCAGTTTCTACTTCCTGTTTTATTGGAGAGAAGAAAACGAGCAAGTACAAAAGAGAAGGGCAGTAAAGCAAGACCAGCCCAAACCCAAATTTTCAGTGCGGAGAGCCAGCTACACGTGGTACTGAAATGGCTGGGTTTGCCCTTACCTGCAGCCCACACAGTTTCATCTGACACAACTTGCCAACCAAGGCGCCAATGACAAGGTTTCCTGTTTCCCAGATGGCTGGGCTTAATTTCTTCCCATTCATCTTGTCCTGGAAGAGGGAAGTAACATGGTCATAGAAAGATTAAAAGAAGATTTACGTGCTGTTCATTTAAAAAATCATTTGATGCAATAAGATATACCTAATTTAAAAGGTAGACATGATAGGTACAAAGCCAACATGTCTATTTGAAGCAATGCAAACCCTGTGAAATTAAGAGCTCTGGTTCTCACATTTTGCTTCAGTTTCCATTCTTTGCACAATCCTCGATCATACTGAGTTGAACCTGGAAGTTTCTCTATTTTGTTGGTAGGCTGTTCATTTCCCCACTGTGGGGGTCTCTTTTACTTTCATCAGTCAGTCACACATTTTGGGCCTATTTTTGTTTCCTAGCAAAGACCAATCTGGTTGTGATAATCATGTGTAAAGCTACTACTGGGAGATTTTTAGGCATATCAGTTACGTAATTTAGACAGCAAGATCTATGTCTTACAGGGAATCAGTCATATTGCTCTATTTAAATGAATCTAAGTGTTGTCTCTCTTGTAGAAAGATGGGATAACATTTTTCTAAATAAATATTGGCCTGTATTCTACCGGAGGCGGGATGGATTTCCTACACCCTAAGGGCCATTCCTCCAACAAGTGGCTCTTCTGTTGGAGGAAGAGATATCAAAGTTGGAGAAAGTCTTCAGAATTTCCTCCATGCAGTGGTTGGGTACTGGCCATTTTGTCTGAAGGATACAAGATGCTGTTCTCTGTTATGTTCTTAACTAATCAAAAGTACGCAGACGGAGAGTGATTTCAGCAAAGTGTACTTTATTCGATCAGGAATAAGACGACTTTGGCTGGCTCACAGGCCGGCTTATATCCCCCAAGAAACCACCACCCAAAACACACCCCTACTTCCCATAGGCTCTCGGCCGGGAACCTAGCCCCCTGATTGGAGTGGGCTAGGATCCACATAGTCCATTGTCTCTTGGAGCGAAGCTCTGCGTTTGTCTCTGGACTTGTCTGGACTGGATACATTACACCCCTCCCCCCTTGGTCCGCAATGCACCCACAGACAAAGTCCTTCAGGTGGGCTGGTAACTTCCTGGTGCGGGTTGAGCGGCGAGTTTCAGGGACTGCTGCGGCTTCTACCCCGGGAGCCCTCGAAGGCGAGCTGGCCGGGAGAGGTGCTGGGGGCGGCGGTGCTGGCGTCCCCAGTGCCTCCAGAAGAGGTGTCTCAGATTCAACCAAGGGTAGAGGCCGGGGGTCGGCCACCAGGAGTTGGGCCTGGGGTGAGGTCTCCGGAACCTTCAGCCATGTCCAGGTCCTCGGGGTCCAATGGCATTGTCTGGCAGCGTAGCTGGTCAATGTGCCGGTGTAGAACTTGGCCATCCTCACAAGAGACCTCATATGATCTGGGGCCCTTAACTCGTATGACATCCAGGTGGGCCCCCAGGCGTAGTTCCGTGCATACACAGGATCTTCCGGGAAGAAACCCCTGGCTGCCTCGTGCGTCTCCATGCCTGGTGCCTCTGTTGATGCCCGGTCAGGGTGCAGACGATCCAACCGGGTTGCCAGGCGGTGGCCCAGAAGTAGCTCTGCCAGACTGCGCCCCGTAGTGGTGTGGGGCGTCGTTTGCTGGCCGAAAAGGAAAGCTGCCAGTTTATAATCATAGTCCGGGGAGTCCAAGCGGTGGAGAGCATCCTTTGTGGTTCTGACCATGTGCTTGGCCTGGCCGTTGGTGGCAGGGTGCAATGGGGCAGTCCGGACGTGGCGGATCCCGTAGTAGCTTGTGAATTCCTGGAACTCCGCTGACGTGAATGCCATCTCGTTGTCCATGACCAGCGTGTTGGGGATTCCCTGGGTGCTGAAGATCCGCCACATTGCCCGGATGGCTGCCTTCGAGTAGGTGGCGGGCACAGGGACTACCTCCAGCCACTTGCTGAAGGAGTCCACCAAGATAAAGAAGAGTTGCCCCTGGAACAGTCCCGCAAAATCCAAGTGTAACTGGGACCAGGGGAGGTGGGAAGATTCCCAGGCCCTTTCCGGTGCTTGGGGAGGCTCGGGTCGGGACACTTGGCAGGGGTTGCACCGCTTCACCACATCCTCTATGTCCTGGTCCAACCCCGGCCACCAGACGTAGCTCCAGGCCAAGGTTTTCATGCGCACCACCCCAGGGTGCATTTCATGAAGGGTGGTGAAGACCCACTCCCGTAGGGGTTTTGGGATGACCACCCTACGACCCCACATGACACAGCCCCAGTAGACGGACAGCTCATCCTTCCGGGAAGCAAAGGGCGTTACGTCAGGGTCTCCTTTGGCCGTGGGCCACCCCCTCACCACCCAGTCCAAGACCCGGCAAAGTACCTTATCCTTGGAGGTGCCGTGAGCCACCTCCATGACGTGGACTGGCTGATCCGGAAGGGTCTCCAGGAGAGCGATCTGGTGGGCGGGAGCCAGATCCGGGTCACAGACCGGCAGCGGCAGGTGACTCAGGGCATCCACGTGGCCCATTGCCTTGCCAGGGCGATGGACGAGAGCGTAGGAGTACCCCACCAGGAAAATAGACTACCGGAGCACCCGAGGTGAAATCATCTGAGGGGGTCTGGAGGTCGGGGGCCAGGAGGCCCAGCAGTGGCTTGTGGTCCATGAAGACCGTGAAGGGCCGCCCATACAGATAGTGGTGAAACGTTTTCACCCCGCCACAATCGCCAGCATCTACTTATCGATCTGTGTGTAATTGCGCTCAGCCGCTGATAGAGTCCTGGAATACTACGCAACCAGGACCTCATGGCCATCCGGCAGCCTGTGGCCCAGTAGCGCTCCCACCCCATAGGGGGAGGCGCCACAGGCCAGCACCATCGAGAGCGCCTCATTGAAATGTGCCAGGATCGCATTTGAGACAAGCAGGTCTTTGACCGCCTGGAATGCAGCTGCTTGTGGCGGACCCCAGACCCAAGGTGCCGACTTGTCCAGGAGGCAATGGAGCGGTTCTGCGGCAAAAAGGAGTTGTAGAAGTTCAGGAGCCCCCCAAAAGCCTGCAGTTTGGACTTGGACGCTGGAGGCGGCGTTTGCGTGATGGTGGTCACCTTGTCCGCGGTGGGATAGATGTCCGAAGCGTCGACCGCGAAGTCCAGGAACTCAACGTGTGGCACCCCCAAAATATATTTCTCCTGCTTGACTTTGAGCCCCCCTGCGTCGAAACATTGTAGAACGGCCCGCAGACGGTCCGTGAAGGACGAGTCGTCCGGCGCGGCGATCAGCATATCGTCTAGAAACAGCTGAACCCCGGGGATACCTTTCAGGAGAGAATCCATAAAAGATTGAAAAATCCCTGGCGCCACCGAGACTCCAAACTGGAGGTGGTGAACCTTGAACGCCCCCCTGTGTGTTGTGATCGTTTGGGCTTCGGCCCTGGCGGCATCAACCGGCAGTTGTTGACAAGCCTGTGCCAAGTCCAACTTGCCAAAAACCCGGGCCCCCGCCAAAGCCGCCAACACGTGGCTCACCACCGGCACTGGATAAGTGTGTGCCTGCAGAGCCTTGTTTAGCGTGCATTTATAGTCAGCACAAATGCGCACGTCCCCGTTGGGCTTCACCGGGCTGACTATGGGGGTCTCCCACAGTGCCGAAGAGACTGGTTCCAGGACCCCTTGTTCCACTAAATGATCTAGCTCGGCCTTGATTTTTGGCTTCATTGCTAGGGGCAGCATCCGGGCCTTGACGCGAGTGGGCCGTCCGCCGGGTCTAGATCCAGGAAGATGGGGGGGCAGAGAAACACCCCAGTGTGCCATCAAAAACACGGGGAAATTCCGTGCACACCGTGCCAAAATCCCGTGACCTGACTTGATAGATTCCATTCAGAGAGAGTCCCAGGGCCTCGAACCACGAGAGTTCTAGCAGGCTGGAGAGAGGCCTATCCACCACCAGCAGGACTAGGGTGCCATTAAAGCCTTGGAACTGTACCCAGAACTTGCCCCAGCCCAGCACCGCCACGGGATTCTTATTGAAGTCCCTTAACTGGAAACCCCGCGACTTCTGCAGGGGCAGGCCCCCCTTTGGACACAGCGTGCGGAGTGTATTCGCAGAGATAATGGAGTAGGTCGACCCTGTGTTGATCTCCATGCTGCAGGGGGATCCCTCTATAAGGACCGTGACATGCATCTTGTTGAGGGCATCGGCGGGCAAGTTACAGACCTGGTGTTGCGGGAGTGGGCCGATATGGAGTGGAGGTTGCTGGGTTGCTCCGGCATGGTCTGGTGTGCGGGCGACTTCTGGCGTTATCCTTTGGAGTGGCAAACCCGGGAGATGTGCCCTGATTTGTTGCATGTCCAGCAGACCGTGTTTTGGAAGTGGCACGACTGGCGCTCGTGGTCTTCCCCACAGCTGGCGCACGGAGCCGAAGTGGTCGAAGCCTTGCTTGTTTTGGAGGACAATTGATGTGGGCACTGGGATGCCCGCTGGCAGACCTGTAGTACCTCCTCCTCGTCCAAGGCGTCGGAGCCGACAGTCGCTTGGGTGCGGTGGACCGCCTTGGCGCGGTGGTCTGGATGGGCCTTCTCGTAAGCGGTGGCCTTCCGAATCACTTTATCCAGGTCCAGGTCGTCCTGGCTGACCAGCCTCCTGCAGAGCTTGGGCTCCCTCAGCCCCACAAGGAACTGGTTTAGCAAGGTGTCCGCTAGGTGGGGAAAGGAACAATTGTTGGCCGCTCGTCTGAGCCCGGCCAAGAACTCGGAGGCTGGCTCGTCCGGCCCTTGGACCCGCGCAAAAAAGTCCATGCGCTCGGCAAACTTTGTGGGTTCGGTGAAAGGTGGTCGGTCAGCACCTTCACCAGCATGGGGTAGGGTTCCTCCTTGGTCTGCTTAGGAACTATGAGGTCCTTGAGTAGCAAGATTGTGTCCATACCGCACAACCAAAGGAGATGGGCGTTTTTCTTCCCCTGGTCCACAATGTCGTGGCAGTCGAAGTAGTTCTCCAGGATCTTGAGCCAGGTCTCCCATTCTGTGGGGCGGGAGATATCGAAGGCAGCGATGCTTTCCTGGGCGGTCACCATCTTACTGCTACACGTGGAGTGACGACGGGAATGGCGGGAGTCAGCGAGCGTAGGGGAGGAGCGGCGCGGTGCTGTCTCATAATCAGCGATGCGGTGCTCGGAGTTGGGGAACGGTGCGAAGAGGAGGCGCCTTCGATGGAGGGCCCGATGCCGTCGGCGGAGGCGATTTCGGCGAGGCGACTCCAGCGATGTCCCAGAACATGGTCTCTGTTCAGAAGGAGCGGTGCGGTGCTACTCTCGGAGTCAGCGGCGCGATGCTCAGAGCTCGGGAGCGGCGTGGTGAGTGGCGCTTCTCGAAGATGCTCAATGCTGACGGTGGTGGCAAATTTGGCGCGGCGGCTCACGGCGATGTCCGGAACGTGGTCTCTGTTCCGAGGGAGATGAATCCCATCCTCGTCGCCAGTGAAAAGTACGCAGACGGAGAGTGATTTCAGCAAAGCGTACTTTATTCGATCAGGAACAAGACGACTTTGGCTGGCTCACAGGCCAGCTTATATCCCCCGAGAAACCACCACCCAAAACACACCCCTACTTCCCTATAGATTATTTACAGTGGCTGAGAGTTCCATAGGATCTCGGATGGGAACCTAGCCCCCTGATTGGAGCGGGCTAGGATCCGCATAGTCCATTGTCTCTTGGAGCGAAGCTCTGCGTTTGTCTCTGGACTTGTCTGGACTTGTCTGGACTTGTCTGGACTGGATACATTACACCTAATATTCAGGACTGAAGGTAAGGAGTGCCAGCTCCTTCAGCTTTTGACTGTGGATGATTGCTTAACATCCATCATAGCATGTTGTGATTTACAACACAATGATCCCATGCAGAATGACTCCAGTCTAAGCCCATTTACATCAATGGACAGAGACTCCCCTAACACTGCATAGGATTGCACTGTGTTAGCCAGACAGCTTGGATCCCTATCGATTACAAAGGTCCCCAAAGGTCAGAAGGATGTGTCTATGGTGATTAATGAAGGACAGCTCTCTCACACATGCAAGTCACCACTTAATGCTACAGTGAGGGATGTGGATGTGTGAGCCCCCTCTTAGGTTCACCTTGGGGCACAGCTTTTTGTTTTCCATGCTGGCACCATCTTTGTCAATTGATCCAGTTCACATGTTCAACTGAGAGTCTTTCCAAGTTGAGTAATCAACATATGCAAATGATACACATACAGTTGTGAACAAGTCCCAATAAACCACTGTGTGTATTATAGGTCTGGGGGGGAGGTCTCGGTTCATTCACTCACCACATATATGTTTTATCCTCCCTCCAGGCAACATGCATAGGGGTTATTCCCTTTTAACCTAGCAATAGTCACCTAGGTTCTAGTTCTAGTCTCTAGTTCCAGCTCCTGCCAACCTAGCAGTTCGAAAGCAAGAAATTGCAAGTAGATAAATAGGTACCACTTTGGTGGGAAGGTAACAGCGTTCCGTGCGCCTTGGTATTTAGTCATGCCGGCCACATGACCACGGAAACGTCTTCGGACAGCGCTGGCTCTTTGGCTTTGAAACAGAGATAAGCACCGCAACCCTAGAGTCGGATTCGACTGGCTTTCGAGCAAGGAAACCTTTACCTTTACCTTTAGTCGTCTAGGTATGTCACATTGACAGCTAATGACTAAGTTAAGGTCCCTCAGTGAGCTCTACTGGCAAATCAGAATAGGAACCTGGGTTTCCCATCTGGAACTCTGTCTGCCTACAGTACACTCACTGGTACTCATTCATAAACAAACAAAATCGTAAATGTGAAGGACAGGTAACAACAGGACAAGAAGCAAGCAGGGACATCTTCTACTTACTAGCACCAAACGGAACAGTTCCGTGGAAGGCCGAGGGGATAAGGCTGCTGCATAGAGAAATTTCTCCAGCAAGGGTGTTTGCTTCTTACTCCCAAAATCTAGAAATTCAGATAGTGCCATCAAGGAAGTTGGTGACTGGGCAGCCACTGCAGCCTCTACATAGAAGGAACTAAAAGGAGAGAGGAAGAGAGCATTGTGGAACACCTGGGACTTTCAAACACCTGGGACAAAACTCGTACATTAGTATAAATTTGGGGAGTGGTTATGATACCAGTTGAAGGGTTTAATGCATATCAGACTTGCACAACTTGTGATTTCATCAACCTGAAGGTATCCTACTATCTGTGTATTGTGGACTAGTAGGTATTTGATGTTACTTCCCCTCCCCCTAGTCTTTGGCAACAGTAGCAGGAACTGTAATGAGCCACTTCTGGGCCATCATATATGGCTTGTGGGCTGCAGTTAGCAGGCCTGGCCTGGTGTATAGTGACAAGCAGTGTTCCCTCTAAACTGCTAGTGTGAGCTAGCTCACAGGTTTTTAGCCCATGAGAAAGGGTGGAGATTATTGCCACGTTCATTTGCAACCAAGCTTGAAGAAGAAGAAGAAGAAATTGGATTTATACTCTGCCCTTCACTACTTGGAGTCTCAGAACAGCTTACAATCTCCTTTCCCTTCCCCTCCCCACAACAAACACCTTGTAAGGTAGGTGGAGCTGAGAGAGCTCTTTTGAGAGCTGCTCCTGAGAGAACAGCTTTGAGGGAGCCATGACTGACCCAAGGTCACGCCAGCAGCTGCATGTGGGGGAGTGGGGAATCAAACCCGGTTCTCCCAGATTAGAGTCCGCACTCTTCACCACGACACGACTAGCTCTCTGTTTTGCTTTGCTGCTATAGTGACTAGAAGACGTTAAAGATCAGGATGAGATGTTACTGGGCTTATCACACAATTAAGGAAATGTTAATCAGTTTATCATATGAATTTTAAGGAATTAACCAATTAAATCTGCACATATTTACATATGCATAAAACAATAGAAAATAGTATGTTCCTTGTTTTTTAGATGATGAGTATATGTTATACTGTGGTGGCTCAAGTGGTTAAGACGCTGAACTGCAGGCTGTGGAAGGTCAGTAGTTCAGCGGTTCAAGACCCGGGTGCCGCAAGACAGGGTGAGCTCCTGTCTCTAGTTCCAGCTCCTGCCAACCTAGCAGTTCGAAAGCAAGAAATTGCAAGTAGATAAATAGGTACCACTTCGGTGGGAAGGTAACAGCGTTCCGTGCGCCTTGGGGTTTAGTCATGCCGGCCACATGACCACGGAAACGTCTTCGGACAGCGCTGGCTCTTTGGCTTGGAAACGGAGATGAGCACCGCAACCCTAGAGGCGGATTCGACTGGCTTTCGAGCAAGGGAACCTTTACCTTTACTTTTTATATGTTATACTAGGCCCTGTCATAGAAGAGCCATTCCTTCCTGTCTGGTAGGAAGAAATTATGTTGTTTAAAAAAAAAAAAAAGATGATGCATTCTGCTCATGTAAGCCCTTACATAATAAAAATAGTTAAATAAAAAAGTTACTGCCTATCTTAATTAGGAATGCCCTTATTTAATTGATTGATTGAAGGTGGCACCATATAGCCCAATCTTGTCAGATCTTGGAAGCTAAGCAGAGCTGGTACTTGGATGGGGGACCACCAAGGAAGACTGCAGAAGAAGGTAATGGCCAAGCTCCTTTGCTTCTTACTTGCCTTGAAAGCCCCTTGCTGAGGTCGCTATAAGCCACTTGCAAGTTGATGGCACTTTTGTGTATATTTAATTGAAAGATATTAAGGGAGCAATCTTAAGCATGACTATTTTGAAGAAAGGTCTATTTTTAACCAATGGGGCTTATTCCCAGCAAAGACTTCTTAGGATGGCACTGTCAATCACTTGAAAGGTAAAGGTTCCCTTCCTCGAAAGCCAGTCGAACGCTGTTACCTTCCCACCAAAGTGGTACCTATTTATCTACTTGCAATTTCTTGCTTTCGAACTGCTAGGTTGGCAGGAGCTGGAACTAGAGATGGGAGCTCACTCCGTCATGCGGCAACTTGGGTCTCGAACTGCTGAACTACCGACCTTCCACAGCCTGCAGTTCAGCATCTTAACCACTTGAGCCACCGCAGCTCACTTGAAAGATCTTTACATAAATAGTGTTTTAATCACTAATCTAAGTATTTAATCTGAGAATGCTCATATTATACACCCAGCACAAATTGGGATCTCAAGATGTTACCATCAAGCCTCCATTTTGCTTTGTCTCCCACTCCTCCTCCGTAAAGATGTGGCGCCAGTTTCAGAAACCAAGTAAACACGTTCCTGGTCATGATCAGAACAAATGACTGAGAGTCAGCAGATGGAGGAGGACCATGCTGAACCTCATCACACTTACTGAGGAAACACTGTGCCTCATTATCAGACTACTGATCAAAGTCTGTCTGTAATCAACAGTATGCTTTTAGTCACAAAATGATCTTGCCACATTTATATTCTGGCAAAGAAGGAATTATACCCATATTAGTATTTCCTACAAATAGGTCAGATAGTCCCATTAATGCAATTTGGACCCTTTGGATTGTCTGCTCAACCCCCTTTTCAGTGAAGTAACCAAGACTTCTTCCAAACACACTACTGCCCTTCCTGGTTATGCCTCCCTTTTGTTTTGAAAACATTCCCAGGAGGACCCTAAACTCCCCTCTTCCTAATCTTTTATTTTTGACTCAGAGGCTGTATTTAACCAGAGTCAGAACCTGTCACAGAATGGTATTCTGTAGGTTCTCTGCCTTTCCATGCTGCCAGAAGTGCAGTACTCTTCTGGGATCAGTTCTAGTACACTTCTGCACCTTTCACACCTCAGCACTGCTAGACCGGCTTCCTCATTACCACATCATGTGTTTCCACCTTCTTTGGCTCACAAGATTTTGTCCTTGCAGCACTGATCCTTTGTATTGCCTTCTAGATGTCAAGGCGGCTGTAACTTTGCCTTAGGAACTGGATCTTAGCTGATCTTGCACTAATATTTTACTCTGTTACAATATTTTATTGACTTATTGCCTTCCCCTGTTTAGAGTGGATTGCATTGCACAGTGGTTTTTGGGTTTTTTAATATTTAGGTCCTTATAGTGGTCTTTACAATGTCAGGTATTATTCCTGTTTGCTTTATATTATCTTATATTATTTTAACAGCTTGCATTTGCTTATTCTCCAGCTCAGCTGCATATATTACTCTCTTCAGTATATTCTGTTAGTTTTCATTCTATTCAGACTCTCAGTGTTCCTTTCAAGCCTTTCCACTTTGTCAGCAGGTCCATTATAGACATTGGTGTGGGTCACTGCCCAGGTTGAAGGTACTCCTAGGAGTCAGAAGTGGACTTTTTACTTATATGCAGTCTTTACTTATACTCAGTCTTTACTTACACCATATTCTCTGGTGCTTTCTTCAGCAGTGCAACAATGTCTCTCTTGTTTGCATCATGTAACATTTGGACAACTCTGTGAAATTTCCAAGTGGTCGATGCCTTAGAGACGTCTATTTTGATTTTCTTTTTACCAAGTGATTTCAAGTTGTTCCTCAGCTGAAAAACAAACATATCATTTAAAAATTTCAGTGTTCCGAAATGCAAACATGCACCAGCGACACAGGGTTTTGAGATGGAGAGCTAAACTGTACTACGACTTCCACTACAGGGGCTTGCACATGTTTGGGCTTGGAGTTCTCTGTGGGAATTCATTTCTAAAATTGCTACTGAGGCCTTATTCTTCCTGAGACCATGGTGCAGGGAGAGGAGAAGATCCTGCCTCCCCCACACTATTTTCTTGATCCAAACTGGGCCCCCACAGTGCCCCAGTGATTCTCTGAGCACACATGATGGACTCATGAAAGCTGTAATGTCTAGTTCGGCTAACAGAGGCATCCCCATGAGATAAATTCCATCAGAATTATTTAGAACTTTAAAAACCAGTGCTCTTTTTTTTTGGGGGGGGGGTAAGTAATAGTTTCCAGTACTTGTATGAAAGGTGGCCCTGATTTCCACCAATTCCCCCCCCCCCGTCCCTCTGCAGATCCCCACTAGTCTGCTCCTGAGGGTCCACTCCCTTTCTCTGGCTGAGTTGGGCAAATTGGCACATGAGGATCAGGACTTTGGAGGGCCCTGAAAAAAGGTGACAGTACATGGTAATGGTGATTAGCGTCACAAAAAGTCCTACATAAGACCATGTGAAAGCAATCTTTCCATTTCCTTCAGACCCTGCTCTGAAGGAAAGTATACACATGTCAGCAAGGTGCCATTCTGTTTTCTGTGACCTCTGTGTACATATCCTTTCCTTGTTGCACCCGGCTTGTTTTCTATCATCCTGCTCCTGCGTTGGAATGCACAAGATAACTGCTGGAGGTTGTGTGGGGGAGAAGAGGCTGTAATGCTTGCCTATTGCTTTTCTCATGAGTACTGCACCTGTGTTTTGTCTGATGTTCTGCCTGGTTCCCATGGACTGGGCGCGCAACCGTTTCTTTAGCCCGCCAGCGGGAATGCCATTCATTGGATCTGTATCTGTTTGAATTCTCTTTATCATGCTTGACCTAACTGTGTATCCCCAGTTCTAACAAAGAACGTGTTTGAGTATGTCTTCAACGCTTTGAAATAAATTTTGCTTTTCTTGAAAACGTGGATTTATTCTCGATGCTTGGGGATCCAACATATTGTTAGAACTCTCTTTCTCCTATCGTTCCGAATCTGGCAAGATCATGAGCGGAACTGAGGGAAACCTACATAACACGGAGGGGGACTCAGGATCGGTCCCACATACCTCCGCTCCTTTGGTGTTCACGACTGCAGCCTCGGTGGAGGGTGCCGTGGGGGGAACGATTCCCCGCCTGCCTGCACATCTGTCTTGGCCGCCTCCGACCCCTTCGCACTGGGGTCCGCGGAAGACTCAACAGCAGGATGACTGGACTATGTACAACACTCAGGGCACCCGAGAGGTGTACTCCCGTCGGGGGAGCGGATTACGTGAGAGTCTGTTTGACAAGGGATTGTTCCCGGAGCCGGGGACTACCTCGGAGAAGGGGAGTTCCAAGCAAGACCTCGAGGAGTGGATGTTCGAGCCATCGGGGCCGCGAGGCCACGCAGAGGATGAGGAGGGCACCGGAGCCTTCCAAACGGAAGAGGACTATGACCCACCCCCGGACTATCGACCTCGGGACCCCATCCCGGAGGAAACCACCGGGGAACGACTGGCAGAACTGGAATACTCGGTGAGGGACTTGTTGAGGACATTCCAGGATGTAATGGAAGCTCTGCCGGGAATGATGGACGTTAGAATGGCTAATTTCCTTGACGCACACGCCGCGCAGCAACAAGTTGTCCCTGCACCGGGAGTTCCCGCACCGCAGGTGCCTGCTCAGCCGCCGACGGGACCTCCGCTGCAAGTACCGGGAGTTCCCGCGCCGCAGGTGCCTGTCCAGCCGCCGGCGGGACCGCCTCAGCAAGGGCCTGTGCAACAGCCGATGCCGGGGGGTCCGCCGGGACCGGGTCTGCCGCCACCGATGAGGCCAATGCCAGCGGGGCCACCGGTTGGTCCGGGTCTCCCTCTCAGGGGAGTTCCGGGTCAGCTGGGACCGTTGGTAAGGCCTCCACGGCCCAGACCCAAAGATCTACTGGAGGCTACCTTTGACGGCAACCCAGATGAACTCGCTTTCTTCACGGTGAGAGTGCATAAATTCGTAGAAGAGAGCCGACACCTGTTCCGAAATGAAGCTGGCCTTATTGATGTCATCTCGGCGAGACTGAAAGGAGACGCCGCCACATGGTATGTTGGACTGCACAATGACCGCGGTCCGGAACTTTTGAATTTGCGAGCATTCATGTGGGCGCTGCGGGCGAGGTTTGAAGATGTCAACGCGAGCCAAAGAGCTAAAGCGTTTCTCCGCACCTACCGCCAGAACAAGAAGTCGGTTCGCGAGTACACACTGGAATTCCACAAGCAAGCAGCAAAGCTCCGAGACTACCCTGATCATATATTGGCTGAGATGTATCGATTGGGACTCAACGCAGACATCCGAGAAACGGTTCTGAAGACTGTCAATCCTGTCTCCCTGATGGCCTGGACCCAGGAAGCTGAAAATGCAGAAGATCGGCTCACCACCATCAAACTCGACTTGGCTGCTACGACCAACAGACCCGCCGCTGCCAGTGCCTCCAGACCCAAGACTCAACGCCTGTCGGAATCGGCACGAGAACTACGTATGAAGATGGGGCTCTGTCTCAAGTGCGGGGAGAAGGGGCATTTCGCTGTGGATTGTGGCAGCCGTCAGGTAAAAGACAAGCCGCCTACTCCAAGCCCGAAGACACCGCTGACGGGGAAGAAGGGGATGGCTAAACCGCGTTTCTCCAAAGCTCTGCAGGCGGCCCAAGGCCTGGAGGGAATCGAACCGTCTGCTGCCGAGTCAGAAGAGGAGGTGGTGGCTGAAACGGCGGAAAACGACAACGGCCTGTTGTGAGAGGCGCAAAACGACACGGCCATTCTAGCTCTGCGCCCAAGGTGGTGAGAGAAACCCCTTCCCTGTTTTTCGTGACTGTCTCGTTAATGAATCCGCTCCTGGGGACCCACGTTAGGGTGAGAGCGTTGATTGATTCTGGGTGTGGGAGGGATCTCATCAGCCCTAGAGTGTTATTGGCACTGGAAGCGGGGATAGTCCCCTTGAAGTCTCCCATCATTTTTACCCAAATGGATGGGGCACCCATGGAACCTTGTACACACGAGACTATGGCTTTGCGGTTGGGGGCTGGCGATCATTGGGAATCCAGATCCTTCATTGTTACCCCTAAATCGCAGTTTGACTTAGTACTGGGGAGTCCCTGGTTGTTTACCCATGACCCTTACATCTTGTGGGAAGAAGGGGTTGTCAAATTTGTGTCGGCTAAATGTGTAGATCACTGCTGGTTGGACTCGTGGGGGGACCAGCCGACCGCACAGTTCCCCTGCGGCGCTTTGCAGCCGGAAGAGTTAGCTTCTTTGCCTCGAGAGTATAGAGACTTGGCGAAAGTGTTTGGCGAAGATGAAGCTAACGAATTGCCCCCCCATCGCTCTACTGACTGTGCTATTGAACTTTTGCCTGACTGTAAATTACCTAAAGGTAAAATCTATGCGATGGGGCCGGCTGAGAAAGTTGAACTGCGGAACTTTATTGATAAAAACCTAGCCCGAGGTTTCATTCGCCCGGCTTCCTCCCCTTTCGCCGCGCCTGTACTTTTCCGAAAGAAGAAAGACGGGGGGCTTAGATTGTGCACTGATTATAGGGGTCTGAACGCTGTTTCTTTGTCCAATGCCTACCCCCTCCCGCTAATCAAGGACTTGGTAGCTGAGGCCACCAAGGGCAAAATCTTCTCGAAACTTGACCTCCGAGATGCATATTTCCGTGTGCGCATTCGGGAGGGGGATGAAAGTAAGACTGCATTTAATACCCCTTTGGGGCAGTTTGAGTACCTCGTTATGCCCTTCGGGCTTCAAGGGGCTCCGGGGGTCTTCATGAACCTAATCAATGAGGTCCTACATGAGTTCTTGTTCAAAGGAGTGGTCCTTTACCTTGATGACGTGTTGCTGTACTCTCAGGACCTCCCGTCGCATATTAAATTGGTGCGCCAGGTCCTTAAGCGACTTTATGAACACCACCTGTTTGCAAAGCTGTCAAAATGTGAATTCCACAAGACATGCATTGACTTTTTGGGTTATCGCATCTCTGGGGGGAAGGTGGAAATGGACCCTGCTAAAATACAGGCTGTACTTGACTGGGAACCCCCCAGGACCCGCAAACAATTGCAAATGTTCCTCGGATTCGCCAATTTTTATAGAAATTTCATCCAGAATTTCGCTCAAATTGCCCTTCCTCTGACTGATTTGCTAAAGACCAAGGGGAAGGGGTTTGATGCTACGAAACCAGGCGCCCCGCTTAAATGGTCCCCTGCTTGCGCAGAGGCTTTTGAGAAACTTAAACTGATGTTCACATCTGAGCCAGTGCTAGCGCGCCCTGATGAAACTAAAAAATTCATTGTCCAAACTGATGCCTCGGATGTGGCAATGGGGGCCGCTATTTTGCAAGAAGGGGAAGATGGTCGTTTACACCCCCTCGCATTTGTGTCTAAAAAGTTTTCTGACGCTGAACGAAACTGGGGGATTTGGGAGAAGGAGGCATCAGCGATCCGGCTGGCTCTCTCCACTTGGAGGCAGTGGTTGGAGGGGGCGCAACTGCCATTTGAAGTCTGGACTGACCATAAAAATCTGGAAATGCTGAAATCCCCCCGTTCTCTCAACGCTAAACAACTTCGTTGGGCGGACTTCTTTGCTAAGTTTCGATTCACTCTTCGTCATTTCCCTGGGACGGCTAATTCCCTGGCTGACGCGCTCTCACGCCTCCCACAACATGACAGTCAGCGTGAAATCATCATGGACTCTGTTTTTTCCCCCTCCCACCTGGGGGGGGCTGTGGTCACCCGTGCGCAAGCGCGCTCGATTCCGCGCTCTGATGAAACTTCGCCTTCCCTTTTCCCTGGGGGGGGGGGGGCTGGGTCCAGAAATATAT